TATATATCGTATATTGTGCAATCTTTGTAAATATTCTATACTGTTACTCACTATCCTAGAATTTTTCTATGCAGTACTCGCCGCAGATTCCGCTCTCCAAGCCAAAGCACTCCGCCGTTTAGACTGTGCCCCAGTTATGAAGATCTACAAGCTTGCGGGGAAGCCAGACCGATGCAATGCCGTCTTAGAGTACATGATAAAATGTAAGATGTCGGTGGATAGAGAGACATATCTGCCCGTGGTGTCTTCATACGGTTCGGCAGGCGACTACGCCCAGGCATCTAGGCTGTTTGAGGAGAGTAGGGAATTAAAGGGCCGGAACAAACGACCGCAACTGTACAGTGCGATGATCGGCGCGTGTGCGAACGCGAGGTATGTGTACCTTTTGGGCGTGTACTATTGTTGAAGTATTTGTGCATGTTTTAGAATATATCATTGCAATATGTACGAGTGTGGGCTTGAAAACGTTTGCCTGTGATTGCAAAGGGCATGATAAAACCAGCGTGACAGGAGTTTGATCCGGTACAGCACGATGGTTTGGGGTTGCGGCAAGACGAGATTTAGTGCTTTTTGACGGTCGCCTGATTGTAGTTGGAGTCTCAGTACCTGAGTTTAAATGCATAGACAACCATAACTATACAGTGCGCTGTTTGCGCCCTGTGCTATGACGACGTATATCAAATACTTGCATAAGTGTGTATGTTTTTTAAATAGTCATGTGGATGGATATATGCAAATTTGTATAGTTGTGCACGGGGGTTTGCAAGTGAGATATAAGAAGAAAGTATTTACATCGAGTGATAAGCGAGACGAGGGTTCTGGAGGGATTGTAAATGTACGGTGCGAGCTCGGAGCGTTCAATGCGTTCGAGAACGGGAAGTAGGACTTAGCGATGTTATTCCGATTTTTATCTAAATTTTTCTTGCGCGAATACATTTTACTTTATGTTATTGTATGTCTAAATGTGTACCTTCAAATGGCCGTATGCTTCTGAATGTTCATTTCTGTTCGGATACGGCTTCTCCTTCAAACAAGGGTATACAGTATGTGCTACCTTGTTCGTAAGATGCTATGGTAAGGACAAGCAGGGCAAATATGCTATGGTTTGAATAAATAGGGCAAATATGCGATGATAAGCACAAACAGGGCAATTATGCGATGATAAGAACAAACAGGGCAAATTTGCGATGATAAGAACAAACAGGGCAAATAGCAATGATTTTTTTCAAAACTTATAGTCTGACACACGATGTTGTTAACTTTGCAATGACCGTTGCCGTCTCCAATTTAAGTCGCATCAATGTACTGCTTGTGCATCTCCTGCTTTTCAGTATATTTTGCCGGGCTATGCATATGTGTCTTCAACAATAGTTGCCGTCTATACATCCACTGTGTCATACGCTTTCCATTGAATTCAAACCTGTGTGCTTCTTTCACCTTAAAGTGAACGCTCATCCTCTATCTCGGTCGTATATACATGGTAGAGACGGGTCGAAATGGATGGAAGCCATTGGTTTATTTGAAGAAATGCGACAGAACGACATACTGATCACAGCCTCGAATCACAATGCCGTGATTGGAGCGCTGGTCAAAGGCGAGAGATACGCTGCGGCAAAGGAATGGTACAAGCAGTTAGAACCAATGCAAAAAACTCGTGTGGTGTTTAGTATCATGTCCAAGGCCAGTATGGAGACGGATGATTTAGATCTGGCTAGATCAATCCTGAAGGAGGCGACAGGGCATGCGGATGAGGCTTTTAAGAAAGCGGTTGCGGCGCGCGTATTGATGAATTATCCCATCACGGATGTGTACAATGCGGTGTTGTCTATCTACCTAAATCGTCGAGACATAGATAAGGCCATGGGTTTATTTGAAAAGATGAACACGCACAAGTACAAGAGTACCGCTACGCCCAATAGCCAGACATACAGTATATTGCTGGTGTATTCTGCGAATGAGTTGCTTTGGGACGATCTGATAAGCGCTGCACAGATGGCGCGTGCGAACTTCAGTTACATTCTCCCGTACGCCTACAAGCATGCCGTGAGTGCGTGCAAGGAGCACCACAGAGATGACCTGGTGATCAAGTTGGATCTTGAGATGCACAAAATGAGCGCAGATGCCCGAGAGCGACGCAGAAGGGATCAGTTACAGTCATCTCGGTAGTTTGCGGACAAATAGGTTAGTTGAACACATACTTAAAAAATTGGATTTAACAAAAAATCACATTCTCGAATAACGCACTGGATAATTCTATTGAGTACTAGATTTATTTTCGAATTGATTCGACAAAAGTCAGTCAAATACTTGCTTGTCATTCAACTTAGAATTGGAAGTGTACAGGGTGGTACACATCAGTGGCTTTAGAGTCCTTCCTAAGTAAGATTGTGATGTTTTTACATTGAAATTCGACAGTCAGTCAAAACTTTCTTGTCAGTCAGCTTAGAATCGAAAGTCGAAACTGTTGTGGTACACATCAGAGGCCTTGGAGTCCATCTCGCAGTAAGACTGTGTGCATTTCTTGAGATCACCACACTATCCAGACCACTGGCAACACTCCTTGTCCTTGTGGATGGGGCCAGTTAGGGCATCGGGGTTACGCTCACGCTTCTCGGCGCATGTGATCTTGTATTCATTCTTTTGGGTAGAGTGGGCGCTGGCAACAACGGCAACGGCGGCGATGATAGCGACAGTGGAGAGCTTCATTTTATATATAAATATTTTGTTGTATTTATTTTTTAATACATATTGATATTTACTTTGTGTTTTTAAAATAAATAAATACTAAAAATATGCACTATTTCTCGTCACTTTGCCCCGAGAAATAGAGCAAACATATTCGACTTGCCGTATTTCGGTCAACTCATGTTCCCTGTCCTCATACATATAAGATGGCACGCCTTCTCTGACTCCGCCTATTGAGGTCTGAAGAGGATTGAGGCATATCAGCACAAAGTCACAAACTCCACAGTCCATCGAGGTGTGAGCAAAATCACAGGGCACGAGGGCCGAGGCTACGAGCAATCATGTGTGAACATGTGAATATTTGTGCAAATGTTTTTTAACAAATAAATAACAGAAACAAAAACAAAACACTGTATTTTAGTGTACTATTATTTATTTAGAGGTGTTCAATTTAGGAGGCTATGTTAGAGCCTAGAGGTCTATGAAGAATTGAAAATACCTTGTATTTCAATTTTTGTGTTTGCTCATGCCTGATTGGCTGAGTCATAGCCGCATTTTTATTATTATTATAAGCCACGGCTCTAGGCCACCCTCTGAAAATTAGACAGAAGGCTTTTTGTTGAAATAAAATGCTATAGGTTGTTTGTTTTGTCATGAAAATAGAGACTAATGTTTTAAAATAAATACAGGATATTTCTGTTTTTAAAAAAATGCTGAAGTTAATTTATATTTGTTTTTAAAAAACAAAACAAAGAAAAAAAACTGAGCAAGGCTATTCAGTTTTTTATTGCTTTTTTATTAAAAATTATATTAGTATTTTAAAAAAAACATATGGTGATTGGAGAATCAACAATGAAATCAATGAAATCTGATGTGTAGTGTAATCAGTGATAGCAGATGTTTATTGAAATCGTAATTTTCAACAGGCTATCAGCCCAATACTATGTATTTATGAAGTCAGAATCAGGTGCTTGACTAGTTGATACAATAATAAATCAGATGTAGATTGCTCAAAATATTTTAGTACTTTATTTAAAAAATATAAATAAGTATGATTTCTGAACAGCTGTTTATATAAATTATTGGAGAGAAAAAGACTTATAAATAAATAGATATTCGTCTTTCCATTTCCAAATTCCAATAAACAAATCTAAATATTCGTCTTTCCTTTTCCAAATTCCAATAAACAAATCGGACGAAGAGTTGGCGCCTTGCAGCCTTGCGTAATTAGGTTTTACTCATCTACAACTGTTTGCGCGAGCAAAATTCAAAGTTCAGTTGTTCACAAACTTGAAAGTTGAAACTTCAAAGTTCATAGTTCACACTGCAAGTTCACAGTTCACAAGTTCAAATTTCACAGTTCACAAATCACAACTTCGCAAGAAGTACATACTGAATACACAGTCATCTGACTAATCAATCAACAAGAAGTTCACAACATATACACACTGACAAACACGTAACACAACATGCACACACACAAGACGAGAGAGAGAGAAGGAGAGAGAGAGAGCGACGGGAGATCTACTGCTGCAGCTGGAGGGGAGAAAATTAGGGAAGGGTCGAGGACTACTTAATACGCTGTACTCTCTCAACTACTCTCTACTATTATTGTCAATATAATAACTACTAGTAGCAAGAGAGAGAGAGAGAGAGAGAGAGATAGATAGAGAGAGAGAGAGAGAGAGAGAGAGAGAGAGAGAGAGAGAGAGAGAGAGAGAGAGAGAGAGAGAGAGAGAGAGAGAGAGAGAGAGAGAGAGAGAGAGAGAGAGTAGTAGTAGTACGTTA